CTGAGGGCCCCGGGCCCTCCTTGCCCCTCCCCCCGGGTGCCCAGACAGCCCCCCACCAGTGGCACAACGCTGCTCCTCATGCGCCGCACGTAGGCTGCTGGGGAGAGTATAAATTGGATAAAAGTCCATCAAACAGCGGCAATTAAGTTATTGATTTTCGACGCTGCCTCATTAAACTGGGAGCTTCTCCCGGCCTGTCCCAGAGATGGCTCTAATTTGACATCATGTTCAATTTGACGAAAGCAGGGCTCGGGACGTGAGGCTGGACCCGGTGGGGGAGGGGTCCGAAGGAGCTGTCTGGTCCATCCGAACCTTTGCAGAAAGAAGGGGGCGGGACGGAAGATCCAGAGGGAGCCTTAGAGGCTGAGGGTACGACCCAAAGGGAGGAGCCAGACCCCACCCAGACAGATGCACTCTGCCAGGTGCCCTGAAGGGTCTGGATAAAGCCTTCCTGGGGCTGGGCTGGGCACTCTGGGCCGACAGCTGCATGCTGGGAGGCGAGGCCCGTCCACTGCGTCCACTGCTCGACTGATGAGCGAGCCCGGAAGTGCTACTGCAGCAATTCTGCTAAGCCCAGCCCGCCGCCTGCCTCTCCCGCCTCCAGCCTGGGGCCCTCCATCATTCCAGACAGACACATGTATTTATTTTTCACTCCTTTGCATTTCTCATTTCCCTCTCTGGGTCCCCCGCCCAGCTGGAGTCTCCTAAGCCGGCCCTGCAATGCGCTGCCTTTGGCGGCTCCAGCTCCATGTCAACGGCGGCCAAGTTGCCCAGGGAAGCTGGGGAAGAGGAGTGGGTGAGCCCCCTCCTCCTGATGCTGGTGCCCAGGGGTCTCCTCCCAGGTGCCTTCTACATACACAGAGAAGGGAAAAGGACAGACTTCTACTGAGCACTCTCAGCCTCTTAAATCCAGCATCTCTAAACTCCACAGCATCTCAGAGACGCAAGGTGGGCCTCTGTAACACCACAGGTGAGGAAACAGGCCAGGCAGGGGAAATACTAAACTGAGGGTGCAAGGTGACGAAGTGGGGGATTTGACGCAAGTGTCAGCACAGGTGGAGTTACTCTGGGGACAGTGGCGTGGCATTCTGAGTCATCATCAGTGATGGCAATGCAAGTTTGACCTTGGGCACGGCGTGAACCCTTTTGGGCCACGACCTCCTCATCTGTGAAGTGCAGGTGACAAGACTACAAGCTCCCGAGATAATTTGAGCATTCAAATTGATTTCTGTGATCAGCACCCAGGACAGTACCTGACCTATGGGAGGCGCCCAGTGCACCCAGGTGTGTGTCTTCTCCGCACACACAGCAGGCTGCACACAATGGCACATCCTGCCTCCCTCAGATGCACCGAAATGGGAGGTGGTACACAGAGCCCTGGGCTTATGATGGGCACTCCATAAATGTTGGCTGTTGTAAATGTTATGAGGAGAGTGTCCCTATCACTCCCCCTGCCTGCTCTCCCCACCCCGTGAGCAGGCCGCAATGCCAGGCTGACTGACTCCCTAGGGACGTGGAAGCCGAGCTGCCCCCTCCTCTCTCTCTCTCCCTGGCTGCATCCCAGGGACTCCCGCGGGGATGATGGAATCATTTCCTCAATCCGGGATTCTTTATTGCCGCCATTACAGTTAATGCCGACACGTGGGGACAGGGAAGGGTCAGTGATTCACCGCTCCTCCCTCGAGTCCCACAGGAACGGCCTCCTCAAACCACATGCACCTCCCACCTTCTCCACCAGTCGGCAGCTCCCCAGAATTGGCAGACGAAAGGGTGCCAGGCTTGTGGCTGCTGCAGACCACCCTCAGGGCACTCCCCTGGGCCAGTTCATGAGGTTCAGCAGTTCACATTTTACCATGTATTCCCACAGCCCTTCTGTCCTTCCGCCCCCACACCGACTCTGTGGCGGAGATGGAGTGGAGAGGGACGCCCCACTTTCTAGGTTGGCTGACTTCTGTGGTGTAAAGACTTCTATCATGGCCCAGTTTCAAGCCACCAGTGTGATATAAACTGGCCTGCAAAATTTCTGAAAACCAGTATGTGCCTGTCATGAGCTGAAACCCAAGGCTATTTATTACCCAATAACAATGATAATGAAAGATTATGTTTATCGAATAATTACTTTGCACCAGATTCTAGCTACCTTTACATGCATTACCTCATGGGGTTTACATGATAAAATCCTGCAGTAAACTCTGCTAAGATTTCCACTTTACAGATGAGGAGGTGGAGGCCGAGTCAATTTCCTCATTTATGAATAAATTCCCGGGCTCATTATGAGAACTTAAACAGATTTCCAGGTCCTGCACCAAAGCCAATGCTTGGCCAAGTTCAGCTGGCAAGGAAGTGGGTGACACAGGATTCAAATGCGGATGAATCCGACGTCCAAACATGTGCATCTTGCCTTACAGGTAGGAGGAGGGGGTTGACTGGAGTCGAAGTAGATGGGCAAATGGGAAAGGGGAGGGGGAGGAAGGAGGGGAGAGGAGAGGAAGCGGGCAGGAGTGGGATTCAGAGTCTCCCTTGCCAGCTGCTGGACCCAGCCAGTTCCAGAACAGGGCTAGACTTAGCTGGGAACACGTGGCTCGCTGTCCACGGTGCTGCCCCAGCCCCTCCGTTAAGTGACGGTAAAGAGGTCTGCCTAACTGATTCTTGGGTAAATAGGCTATCAGGGCCCAGGGATTCGAGTGGAATGTTAAATATGAAATGGCCAGTCCTCGGAGGGCACAAAAACCAATGGTTCTCAACCTGGCTGCACATTAGAATCTACTGGGAGCTTTAAACTAAAACTGATGCCCAGTCCCATTTCAGGCCAATTAAATAGGACTCTTGGGGTGCAGCCCAGGCAAGGGAACTTTTGCAAGCTTCTGAGTGGTCCCAAAGTGTCCCCTGCACTAACAACAGATGCACTAGACTTCACCTGTTATTCCACTGCTGAGGACATTGAGTCATGAAGGGACTCGGTGACTTTCCAAGGTCACATCATTAATCAGTAGTAGGGGAAGAATAAAACCCAGGTCTGTCCAGCCAGCTGACACCCTCCCGGGCCCACTGAGCCTGTACTGAGACTGTCACTAGGTCAGCTGAAGCCAGGGTGGGAAGTTGGGCACTCCCGGGAAGAGATGCCTCTCCTATGTCCAAGGAGAAGGCATGGGCTTTGGCATCATAGCCCTCGTTCAGAACTGCCACTTCCTTGTACTGCAGTCTCACTCAAGTCATCCCTCCATCTGGCCTGTTTCCTCACCTGTACTTTCTGTCCCACGGTGCATCTCTGAGATGAGGATTAGAGATGATGGACTTAAGAGGCTGGTGAGGCCAGGGGTATAGTGGGTGCTTGACGGGAGGCTGCTCTGTTCTCTGTATCACGTCCTTGGCCCTGAACAGGAAACTTGAGTGCCAGCATTAGAAGGAGGGGGCTTGTCTATTCCTCATCCCTCATGTATCTGGGTGGCTCTGACGTGGTTTTTCCGGGAGCAGGACTGGAGCCTGTGTCCTGGCTTGTCCCTTAACACTTGCTATGTGAGAGGCTTCAGCTGTCCCCAGTGCCTGCACTGGAGCTCAGGAAGGGCAGACATACGTATATTCTCATTCCAGCCCTGGCCTTGGCTCCGTGTGCAGCTGCAGGAAAAACACCCGAGCAGACCTGGTCTCAGTTCCGCTCCTGCGAAATGGAGATAACACTTCAACCCTGCTGCTCCCTGGGTGCGGGAGGCCCCTTACAGAGATGGAAGTGATAAAGCATTTTGCAAAAGAACAGAGTCCTCCACCGAGGTGACCAAGTGTCATTATTATGAAGATGTTTGTAATTATTATCATTCTGCTTCCTCCCTGCTTCCTTTGCTACCCTGCTGGGCCTGGGGATACCCTAGGCTCACATTTAGTTTCTCAAACATTTATAAAAAAATGAGTCCTACCCCCTGCTGCTGCCAGCACCGCACAGAGTGCTTTCTATTAAAAATTAAAGACCACTTGTCGAGTCCCGGGGAGCACTCCGATTACACAGGAAACAAACCCGTTCTCAAACTCCTCCCTCCCTGTGCCCTTCCCAATTCTCTTTTCCATCATCACTTATAATCACGGCTTGCTAGGCTGGTCTTGACCTTGCTACCCGCCACCACCAGGGCAGCCTAACGTAGATGAATGACACAAAGGAGACACAGGAAAGTGTGTGTGTGTGTGTGTGTGTGTGTAGCGTCTGCAGGATTGAGCAGAGGGGGGCAAGTCCGGGACAAGCAACGGAGAAGGTGCCACACCCAGGAAGGTGAGTCAGAGATAGAGAAATGAGGGACAGAGAAACATCGGGACAGAAACTGTGACAGGAAGAGGCAGAAACATGGGGGCAAAGAAGGAGACTAGAGTCCCAGGAAGCAGGAGGATAGGCAGGGAGTGAAAAAGTGA